GTTTTGTTTATAGTTTTTCTAATGGTGGTACGATTTAACACATAACATGCAGTACTTACTGCTTCTGCCCAAAGGAATTTAGGACAATCATATTCAAGAAGCATGGTTCTGGCAGTTTCAATGAGAGATCTGTTCTTCCTCTCTACAACTCCATTCTGTTGTGGAGTTCTAGGGGCAGAGAAAGTGTGAAGAATACCATAGTGATCACAGAAGCAATAAAAGTTATCATTTAAGAATTCTACACAATTATCACTTCTGATGCTTTTAACAAAACAGTCAAATTGATTTTTCATTAGAAGCACAAAGGACTTGAACTTAGAGAATGCTTCATCTTTAGAAGATAGAAAGTAAACCCATGTGAATCTGGAAAAATCATCAACTATCACTAGCACATATGATTTTCCTCCTAAGCTTTGGACATTAGTTGGACCAAACAAGTCCATATGCAGAAGATCAAATATTGCAGAGGAGGTGATATCTTGTTTGCTTTTAAAATACTTTTTACAGTGTTTTCCTAGTATGCATGCTTCACAGGTGAAGTTTTCTGTGAATTTTATCTTAGGTAATCCTCTAACCAAATTATGTTTGGAAAGTTTGTTCATGCGAGAAAAGCTCATATGCCCTAGTTTTCTATGCCAAGTGACTGCAGATTCAGTCATAGAACTTAGACATATGTTTTCTGTGAGGTCAAGAGTTGAAAGGTCTACTGTGTACACATTATTGACTTTCTTGCCTTCAAATATCACAGCATTATCAGAGATTCTTTCAATTTTGCAGCATAATGGATCAAAAGTAACACGATATGTAGAGCCACAAATCTGACTAATGGATAGCAGGTTGTGTTTTAATCCTTCTACATAAAGAACATCTTCTATAACAAGTGAAGAATTACTGCTGATAGTGCGTTTTCCAACCACTGAAGCACAGTTGTTATTACCATAAAAGACTTTACCTCCTCTTTTAGGATTAAGATAAGTGAAAAGAGTTTTGTTACCAGTCATGTGGTGAGAGCATCCAGAGTCTAAGTACCAGATGTTACCACCTTTATTATTCTGAAAAAAAATTGAATTTAGTTAGAAGATTTAGCAACCCAAACAAGTTTGGGTTTATATTTCCTGGAATAGCAATGTTCATAGGAATGTCCTGGTCTATAGCAGAAGGAGCATAATTTGTGATCAGTCCAGGATAAAACAGGTCTATTATATCTATACTGGTTTGAGTGAGAGTGGCTTCTTCTATTAGGATAGGTTCGAGAAGCTTCCCATTGTGATTTGTTTATAAAATCTGTTGCATCTTTCAAGTTGGCTCTTTAAAATTTTGTTTTCATTAATGAGATTAGCAACTTGTGAATCCTGAGTGAATTGAGCAGCTTGTTGTATGTCTATGATTTCTTTTAATTTTTGCACTTCAACGTTTTTGTCATGCAACTGTGTTATAGTAAGCTGGTACTTACTCTTCAGTCTGTTGCATTCCTCTTGTAAATTTGACAGGGCATGAAGAAAGAAGTCTTCATTTTGAGTTTCTGAAACAGAGTCAGAAGAGAGATCAGACCATACCTGTTCACTTGCATCGACATCATCATTGCTGGAATTTAATCCCATGTAAGCAATATCCTCAGATTCGTCTTCTGAGCTACAGTCACTCCATGTTGCCGTCATGGCCTTCTCTTTCTTTTTGTTCAGAGGGCAGTTAGCCCTGATGTGACCTGTTTTTCCACATTTGAAGCAAATTGTAGAGTCAGATTTACTTTCAATGGAATTTTTAGCATCTTTAGGACCATTTTCCAGTCTGTTAGTTGCAAATGAGTTCTTATCATTTGAACTTCCAGAATGATGTCCTCCAACTCTAGGGGAATGATTGAACATGTTTCAAGAAGGTCTAGGAAAGTAACCATTGTTTTGACTTCCCCTTTTTGCATTTTGATTATGTTTATATTTCATCATTCTCTGGAGTTTTTTGCTGGTGAGAGCAAGTTCATTTTCGAACTCCTCATCCAGTTTGTCTCCTTCATTTGCATATATAGTAGAAAAGGCAATGGATTTGTTCTTTCTGTCATGAAGGGAGTTCATTTGCTTCAGAACTTCTTCATGACTGAGCAGAGATCCTATTAAGTTTTCTAATGACAAGGTGTTCAGATCTTTAGCTTCCTCTATAGCTGTTCTTTTGGCCATCTACTCTAGAGGAAGAGATCTGAGAACTTTTCTTACTAATTCTTTGCTAGAGAATGTTTTTCCTAACCCTTTGAGTCGATTTACAAGAGTGGAGAATCTTTTATCCATTTCAGATATGGATTCTCCTGACAACATATCAAATGTTTCATATTCTTTAAGCAGTAAATCAATTCTAGTTTCCTTTACTTCTGAAGTTCCTTCATGAGTGCTTTCTAATATACTCCATATCTCTTTGGCTGTTTCACATTTGTTAACACGTTCACCTTCATCATCTGATATAGCAGACAATAGAATATGCATAGCCCTAGAGTCTAATTGAGCACTCTTCTTTTGTTCATCAGACCAATCCTCCTCATCATCCTCTTTCATGTCAATTGGTCCATTTCGGACAATTGCCCATAATTCACAGTCGATTCCTCGGAGGTAGAGTCTCATTCTTTTCTTCCATACAGAATAATTTGACCCAGAAAACCAAGGAGGGTTTGAACTAGTGGGGAATGAATTAGTAGACATGGCAAAACAGAGGATCTCCCCCTCGACAACTGAGGTTCCACGAGAAGGGGGCTCTGATACCAATTGATATTTAACAATGTCTTGATTCATTCACACACAAATTAATCTACCACAGTTCTTGTTTATTATTCGGACAATCTGAAAGAAGAGAAGATTCCAGTTGATTCACTAGCAGAGACAAATTAGAGTTCAGCCCTAATAAGATAACAGTATCTAAAGAGGTCCTAATGACCGAGAAACACAGTAAAGAGAAGAAGAGCAAGAAGAAGGACCCACGCCCAGTAGAACTAGAGTTCCTGGCTAAAAGCCCCAACCCTAGTTCCACCAGACACAACTAGACCGAACCCAATCCAAGAACTCCCAAAGAACAAACCAGTTCTTACTGAGATCAGGGAAACCGTCGTCGAATTCCTTCTTTGGGTTGCCTTTAAGTAGACTTCCGATCCTCGCCTTTGCTCTCTCTCTTCTTTAATCGTCATGACCGTTGGCAGTGAAGGGAATGGTTTCCGATGCTGGTCGACTGTGGTTTTTCTTGACTGTGGTTTTTCTTTTGGTGTTTGATAGATGAAGATGGAATGAAAGCGATGACGCCTTTGACAGACTCGAAGTTGGCCGAGAATCACCTTGGGCTCATAGGCGAGGGCCTTTGCCTCAGTTTATTTCGAGACAATCATGGGCCAGGGGCCCAACACTGACCTTCATGGGACTGCAACATATATGCCATTATTCACTCGAAAGTTCTTTCTCCCAAAAGTAATTGGAGAAAGAAAGAACAAAAAAAAAAAGAAAAATAACTGGCTTTGTCAATACGTCTATCTTGGTCTTGTTGCTCAATCCTCCCGTGAGATGTGGGACTACAAAAAAAAAAAAAAGGGCTAGCTAGCTTGAAAGGGATGAATTCCTTCATCTAGTCCACACAACTGAATATCTTCTCATTTGTAACAAAGAAGCTAAGATCTTTTTATCACCACTTGGGTCGATGCCCTCTTCATCACAGCTCCTCCCAGTTGACACTTTTTGTTTAGCTGGCATTTTGTCTTCGCTAGAATTTGTCATTTATTTCCACCCATGTGCTGTAACTGGACCACAAGATTAAAACCAGACCAGAACAAACTTTTCACAATTATCATTTCTCAATCATCTCTCTTCCCAGTCCCAATCCCACCACCCCCCACTAGCTTCACTCATTGATGATCTCAGTTTATCTCTAGTTGTTTTTGCAGTGATTAAGTTATCGGGCATGGCCAAATGGTCAAAGATATTGGTCTTTGATCGGAGGTGATCGGATTTGTTGTCGTTCTGGAGAGTGTTAGTATTCGCCTATTCGGGATGAGTGGTGCGAGTTTAGATTATTTGTCTTGAATCACCGGTAAACATGATTGAGCAATGGGATTTGGACATTTATCTTAGTTTTAATGAAGAAATCCTTGTCATGAAAAGATCTAGTCGCTAAGTTTCCTTGCTACATTATCCCTATCTAATTATACGGGATACATGCTCCTTGGAGATTAACATCGATAATGTATAGTATGAGAGTGTATCTATGTGGCAAACCACTTATAACTTCATGACCGCCACTCTGATGTAACAAAGCTATAACGATATGTTCATGTTTTACTAGCTAGGTTTCGACTTTTATCGCAGAAGGGGACATTTTGCGCCCATTTCACTTTCAGAGCTACGAATTCTCTGATACTGTAACAAAATTTGCATACAGATTGTAGTATTACGAGCTCCTTAGAAAATTTATATTGTTCACATTTATTGCGAGATGTGCTAGTAATCATGTAAGAAACCACTTATCGTATTTGACGATTTAATATGCTATAACCATATATTACCTTAACACGATACTTGGTTCATGAGAGTGAAAACCCCTGATAATGATTTCATGCATTAGAATGTATTTGCAGCCCAAAAGAAAGCTACTAATCTATCAACAGTCCTACAAACACCCTGTCAGTTTTTCCTCATCATCACAGTGGGATTAGGACTTTTCATAATTATCCTGATGGGACCAGGATTAGCTTTCTCGCACAAAATTTTCCCATCATCATCGAGTCACATTAAGCACTAATCATGTAAAAAAGCTGGTTCTTGTTTGTCTTTGTGGAATTTAAGAAGGGCATGGGCTAGCTCACACATAAGAATGGCCAACTAGCTAGCAAAAGAATTTCTATGGTCCTCCTGTCCCCATTTCCAAACCTAACCTTACCCAAAACAGTTCTATATAAACCCACCTCGAACTCAATGAAGAAACACCATTCTACAAATACTATACTCACATTCTTTCCCTAGGTAAAAAAAATTATAAAAATGTTGCACATCCTCTTCCTCTTCGCTCTGGTCCTCGCCCCAGCTTCCCACGCAGCAGACTTCTGCGTGGCGAAGCTGAAAGGCGCGGGAGGCGTGGCAGGGTACGCCTGCAGGGACCCTGCCAAGGTCACCGCCGCGGACTTCGTGTTCAAGGGCATCGTGACCAGCGGCAACACCACGAACATCATCAACGCGGCGGTGACCCCTGTCTTCGTGCAGCAGTTCCCAGCCCTGAACGGGCTGGGCCTGTCCACGGCCAGGCTCGACCTGGCCCCCGGAGGGGTCATCCCGTTGCACACCCACCCCGCGGCCAACGAGATCCTCGTCGTGACCTCCGGGGTCATCAAGGCCGGGTTCATCACCTCGTCGTCGAACAAGGTGTACATCGCGACCGTGACCAAGGGACAGGTGATGGTTTTCCCACAAGGGTTGTTGCACTTCCAGCTCAACGCTGGCAAGACGGCTGCTAGTGCTGTGGTGACGTTCAACAGCCCTGAACCTGGACTGCAGATTCTTGACTTTGCGTTGTTTGCCAATGACTTTCCTACTGAGTTGGTTTCCGGGACTACTTTCCTTGATTCTGCGATAGTGAAGAAGCTTAAGGGTGTCCTTGGTGGTACTAATTGATTGATGAATTAGGGAGTGTTTGGTTTGGTTTCTTCCAAGCCTGCTCATGTTTTTTCGATTCTGTAATTTGAGTTATGAATTGATGTGGTGACTTTGTGATTCTGAGTTTGTGGGGTTTTATCTCTTTTTTTTTTCCAAGGGTAATTTATGTTAGTATGAGTTATCAATGTGGTAGCTAGCTGTGTACGTAATTCTGGATTGGCAAGATTTTTCGTTATTATTCATGTTTTGTATTTGCGAGGAACATTTTTATGTGATTGATTATCACTTGAATTCTTCATCATGACATGAATAAATCTTATTAGTTATTACAAAGAAAAGGTAAATTTGACTTGTGATAAAAAAAAGTGTATCCAAGCATATAAAATGTAGTTTTGTTCTAGGTTAATGGTCTTGATAAGATATTTTTTTTAATCCTATTAAGATATCTTTTTAAAATTACAATTGAGATTAAAAAAACAGAATACTTCAAAGAGAGTCACTATTTTATCTCTCACTTTTTGGTCTTGGTGGGTACTCTCTTTATTGTCATCTTCTAACTTTATTGCCATATTGCAAGAGTACAATTTATCATGTTTTTTAGGAGAAAATGATGGCTTGACAATCACATAAAGTTGGAAGCTACACCATTGTGTGCAAATTCCGATTAAACGGAAACGACGGGAAGAAGAGTGGTTTGTTATGTTGAGATTGTCCTTCATAATTTACCAAATCACGAGTTTAATTAGTAATACATCAATTTTTCTTATACAATTCTAAGAAAAGTAGTTTCAATTGCACAACAAAACTCATACAAGAAAAAAATAATATGAATAATCAAAATTCACATGCTTGAAACCACATCTTCCAAAGGATAAAGTGTGTGAGTGTCACATAGATCCAATTTTCTGACCTTTTCCTCCTTACCCTTCCAAAGGGGCACCAAAAACAATTATCTTTATATAGTGGCCAGTGGGTATGGCCATGGAGCCCTAGGGGGACCAATTTGTTATTCCAGTTTCCTTATTCTTTCCAATTTTTACCATTCAATTAACAGGAAATAAAACAATAGGTTAACGGTTAAAAGTGAATGTCTTGTTTGGATGCTAATGAAGAAAAACACGATAAGGTCTCTGAGCGGCCCCAATGTTGATTGGTGCTCTACCAGTCCAATCCACTTCAGTGGCCCAGCTCATGCCTTACGGCCCAAGTGCAATCCTCGAGTCGAATTGATATCATCAGGTACAATTACAAATACGTCTTCTTCTCCAATGTCCTTGGCCCAGTAGAGAACCATCCTGTCTCTGCCTACAAGTCTACAACTAAAAGGCAGCTCTTGCAAAGTTCCTAACCCTATTGCCATTAGAACGTAGAAAATGGGTTTTTGCAACAGAGGAGAAAAGAGTTAAAGGATTTGATCAGTAGTGGACAACGGTTAATTATACCAGTCACACTTCTTCAAATAATGTCCAAACAAGGGTGTTTGATATTTTTGATGACTTATTTTTTGGAATAAGCTACGTTAAATTAGCCTACTTACATGAATGTTTGGTAAGAGCTCTAGAAATTATTACTTCTATGACAACTTTACTAAGAATAAAAAAAGGTTGACATGAGCGTCAAAGTGTTAGTATTGGAAACTTGTCTTCCATCTTCGTGTCTCCTATTTATAGCAAAAAGATGTAACCACCGTAATAACGCTAGCTTGTCGATTGCTCCAATTGCCTGGGAGACCACTCGTCGCACATTGATAACTACTAGCTTGCCGACTGCTTTATATTCGCATTGGAAACCCCTCGTTGCCGCACCTTGGTGGCAGGCTGGCAGCTGGTATTAGATTAATAGCCTCAACGCGAGGTCTGGGAGTAGCTTAGTGAGCGTAGCAGGTGTCGACGAGGAAATTCTATTTGGCAGCTACTGTTTGTGATTTCAACCCGAGATTAATAAGTACTTATTTAATTACATATACAAAAAACTATTGTTTGACAAATATTTTTGTTTGTTGGATTTACAAGTTAGTTACTTGTTAGTTGGCTGTGAAGTAGTTTGGTTGCTAAAGATTGGAAAAAGATCATGCTGTTGGGTGAACAAGAAAAAGGGTTGAAAGTTTTGTCTGAAACGGTAGTGATCACCTTGCCAATAAACGGATGAAATTAACTAATATCATAAATAGTCACAAAACTATTCACTTTGTACAAAACGGTCATAAAACTTTAATTTTGTACGTTCCAGTAACATTTGTTTAGACTAATAACAAAAAGGTAATTCCGTCTATATCCATCCAAAAATCCGTTAGTTTGCTTGAGTCAGCACGCCATGTCATCCACAAATAATAATAAAAAATTAATAAATGAAATCAAATTATACCCAATCAAACCAAATTCAATCCGACCCGAAAATTATACCCAATGAAAATACAAACCTAATCCGAGCGAGACCGTGAGCAAAAAAACTCCGGCAGATTGCGGCAAGCAGCCGTGATGGCTACTATCTCCTCCGCCTCCCATCGCTGAGCGAGACCGTGACTCCGTGAGGGATTCAAGCGCGTGAGGGAGATTCAAGGGCACTGCTTCCCCTGCCCCTAAAGCTCGAAGAAGAAGAAGAATCGCGATCCCTAGCTCGGGGCTCCGACCCCAATTCCCCTGAATTCGACATGGGCCTAGATTCTCCCAAGTCCGGCGCTTCGGGTGCCAGCAGTGGGTCGTCATCGCCGTAGCGACGGGTGATAATCGAGGGAATGCAGGTGGGAGAGAGGGGGAGGCATAATTTCAGGGGTGAGACCTCCCTCTTCCAGCTCCCCGACGCCAACTCCTCTGCCGCTTGCCTCCCCGACATCCGAACACACCTCGCCGCCATATCAATCGACCCATCTTTTGTCCCTCTCTGCTTCAACGACTCCAATTAGTTAGTCTCCAACGCTTCCAGCTGCATCGGAGTCATCTCCACCGCCGATTGGATCCAGCGGGTCGCCCCTGTCACCCCGTTCGACTCCACTTGCCTCACCCGCTGCAGCTTTTGCTTGGACGCCGGCTTGAAGGTAAATTCCCAGCACACCAATGTCCAGGCTAATGCTAATTCCAAATGTTTCTACTTCAGTACTTGTTTGTATGCTATTGCTATGGTCAGCGACTTGGTCCACTCGATGCCAATACATGGGGTTGAATTCTAGCCTTGCCATTGAAATCGTGTGCTAGTTCTGGTAAGAAGAGTAACCATGGGAAAGTAGTGGGGCTTGTTTTGGAGATAGTTGCCATCGTGGCTGCTCACGGTCTCGCTCGCATTGGGTTTGTATTTTTATTGGGTATAATTTTAGAGTGGGTTGAGTTTGGTTTGGTTTATTGATTTTTTTATTATTATTTGTTGATGACATGTCGTGCTGACTGGAGTAAACTAACGGATTTTTGGATGGAGATGGACGGAATTACCATTTTGTTATTAGTTCATACATATGTTACTGAAACGTGCAAAATCAAAGATTTGTTACCGTTTTGTACAAAGCGAATAGTTTTGTGACCATTTATGATAATTAGCCGCGTTTGGATAGGTGTATTTCAAATATAACGTATTTGAAATACATGTTTTTCAAATGCATGCATTTGAAATACTAGTATTTGAAATGCATGTAATTCAAATTCGTTATTTGGATAATCATTTGTAATTTGCCTATATTTTAAATTTCATGATTTTTTATTTGAATTTTGAATTTTCTAGTCACTTACTACAAATTTTGGTAAATTATAGTTTGGTACCCAAATTTATTTTTCCTTACAATTTAGTACTTTAACTTTTAAAATTTTACAAAAAGGTCCAGAAATTTTGATTGTAAAATTACATTTTGGTACCTTTATATATATTTTCCCACACTATAGTACCTAAACTTTTAATGTTTTACAAATAGGTCCAATCTTTTGTTAGCAGGTATTTCAAATCACTAGTTGTTGAAATGTATTTGAAGTTGACAAGTAATACACTAGACATGTATTTGGAAATCAACCCATGAATTTGGTACAAATTCAAATACCAAATGTAATTAATATCCAAACACATAATTTGACATTTAGAAATCCAAATCACATATACTAAATCCAAATCATTCTATTCAAACGCACCCTAAGAGAATCACGGGTTGAAAGCTAAAACTTTTGAGCTATGCAGGCGAGTTGCATGTCATTCATTTTGTCCTGAGCAGCCTCTCACAATTCTGGATGAATGTATTTCTTTTACCTTTGCAAGTCATAAAAGAAATTGAGACTAAATGCAATAACTTTCTATGGGGGTGGATTGGTATGGAATGTGGCTGTCAGCATGTTATGGCGTGAGAGAATTAGCCCGAATGGGGAATGCAGGACTTGATTCTGATTGTAGCAAAGTATTTTTGTAAAGTTAGCTGTTGGTTTTGGTTAGTGGTCTGTATGTAGTAGGAAGTGGTTGTAAGAAGTAATATTAGACAGGTCTGCTGTCTAAATTGTAAAGGTTCAGGTGCTTCCTCCATGTCAAAGGGTGGCATTATGCTTAATGAAATTTTTTATATTGCCCATAAAAAAGGATGAAATTAATAACGACAATTTTTTATTATTATAAAAAGATGTAATGCATCTTAGCTTTCATTCAACACCAGACGAGGTATCGAGATATCGTACATAAGGAGGTTACACAGGAAAGGATCTGAAACTGAAAAATCATGGACACCCATAGGTAGTCCGTGGCCGCAATTGGCAAGATAGTCCGCACAAGCGTTACCCTCTCGGTATATGTGAGAGATGGAGATGTCTCCGCCAATTGCGGCTATGATGGTGGGGCTGCTCGCCTCTGGCCTCTAGCAACTGCACTACGCACCGGGAGTCCACCTCCAAGCGTATTTGCTGGAACCCAAGACTGCGCGCCAACTTTAGTCCTTCAAAAGCGCCTCTCAATTCGGCCCTGGTTATGGCGAAGAGGAGGAGGAGATGGGGTAATCGAAAGGGATGTGGTATTTTTTTATTTTTGTTTTAATTTTTTGATTTAAAATGTAATAATTCAATATTAGAAAATATGTGAAATTTAAGGGAAAATACGTGAATTTGAATTTTATAATGGTTTATATGATGATTAAGCGGTGACATGACTGTTTTATTTTTAGTCAACAAATTTGACCATCAAACATAACAATCAACACTCAGCTCGGGCCAAATAAATAATTTTTAGTGATAGTTTAGACCAGATGTTATATAGTGAAAAAATTGGCAGGATATTAAAGAACGATAAAGTTCAGATAAGGCAAAAATACAACCCTTATTTTTAGTGTCATATCAAGAGGGGGTTAATTGTAAATGATGTGAGCTTTGAGGGGCGAGGGCTATTTCATTCTATTGGGATTTCCGTTCCTTCTTAATTATTTGTATGTCTTAATTCACATATGAATAACAATTGAGGCCAAATCCATGGGAACCCAATCTGACACAATCAAAGCATGTAAAATGCATAGTTTTGTGTCGAGTGTGGGTTTTACCCGCTTCAAAAATTGATGGATTAGGTCAGTTTGAATTTTGGTTGAAATTAACAATTGAACCCACACCCATAAATATCCAACTTAATTTGACTCACTCATTGTGGGTTGTTATTAAAAGCAACTTTTGGGGCATTTGGTTTTCTTTTACTATTAGTCTTACCTTTTTCTTTTACAGACCGATTTATTATTATTATTATTAGCATTCCTCTTCTTTTCTATCACCCCAAAGTGACTTAGAAGCAAGTTTTGACGAGTTTATTGTTTGGTAACTATGATTGTTAACATCCAATGAAAAAAGAAATTCTATTTTTTTTTATCACATAACATGTTTATCCTTAACCAAAATAATTAGATTGGCTCGCAAAATATTGAGAATTTATTGGTAAGGGTATTTAGTGGGATAGATGAAAAAAAAAACAAGAGATATAATAGGAGGGAGAAAATCTCCAAAATCAGGATGTAGAATCCCTCTAATTATGAGAGATTTGATATCTCTAGATTTTATAGATTTACAATCTCTGAAGTTACAATCCACGATACAAAAAGTAGCAAAAAAATAACATTTTGCTAAATCTATGGATTCAATAAATCCACGATCCAAATCTTGTTCTCCAAATGACCCCTAGTGTCTTAATTTACATAGGAATAGCAAGTGAGCTAAAACCATGGTTACCAATCCGACCCGGTCAAAGCAAATAAAATCCGTAGTTTTTCATCGGGTGCGGCTTGTGAGGTTATTATTCCTTATTGTCAAATCAAGAGGGGGCTGATTGTAATTGATGGAAACTTTGAGGGTTTGTTTTTTCCATTTTTTTAGTTTATTTTATGTCTTAATTCAGATAAGAATAGCAACGGAGCCCAGACCCATGGTTACCCAATCCGACTTGGTCAAAGCGGGTAAAAATTCATAGATTTGGAACTGTTCAGTGCGAGTTGTCATTAGAAGCAACTTTAAAGCAATCATTAAAATACCATACCAGATTAGACAATGAATTAAGTGGAGTTTGGGGTATCATGCCGCTAACCTACCGTACGCCCAAACCAATACTACTAAATATATTTACACGGCAATGAGTTGTCAACGTTTTGTCATCAGTGTGGCTGCGAGAAGGAGCCGTCGAAGGATTGCAGATCTAGTTTCTTTAGTATTGGTATTAAATTTTTTTTCCCGCATTTGTATTGATTATCATGTAATGATATTGCTTTTTTTATTGATGTTATTGTATTGATATGCATCTTCATGTATTGGTATTGGTTAAATATGCAATGGTATTATTTAATAAGTGGTCTATACTGTGGTAGTGGTATTATGTTTTAGTATTGTTTTCTTGTTTTTTTCCTATAGAGGTATTGGTATTTTTCCGAATTGGTGGTGGTTGTCTAATGCATTGGTATTGTTTTCTTGTTTTATTTTTGCAGTAGTATTAGTTCGGGCGAACGAAAACAAGGAAAAAAAATTGAGAAATAGAAAAAAGAGATTTGGTAGGAGATTGCGGGAATGAGAGAAAGAGAGAGAAAATTGTAATTAATATATTTTTATAACTTCCTAAAATGTAATTTATTAAAAATGGAAATTTAAAAAATATTTATTTCTATCCAATTTATCCTTAATAATTATGATGATTAGTACAAATTAATCACCAACGGATTGATATTTCTTCTCTATATGAACAAGCACTTCTACTATGCTATATAGTATTGGTGCTTTAATGTACAACTTAAAGTTGTACCATAACATTAAATGTATAAGTTTAGGTTGTATTATAAAGCAATTTGTACCATTATGTTATGGTACAACTTTACAACTTGAAGTTGTACCATCACATAAAGGTACAAATTCAAGTTGTACCATAAAAGAATTTGTACAAAAAGTATAGGTACAATCTGAAGTTGTACCATAACGTAAATGTACAATTTTAAGTTGTACCATAAAGGCAAACCCCTATAGCACCAATACTATATAGCATTGTAAAATTTCTCATATATGAACCTTGTTTTGCTTTTGGATTATATTAGACGAATAAATTGAAGTTCCACATTTAAGGAAACTATGAAAGTCCGCCTATTATATATTGCTTTTGGAATCTGTTTTAGGCCATAACGATTCTGTCGAGTGTGTTTAAATTTCATGACATTCGACGGCAGCAAGAAAGACAGAATCATCAAATAGATTAAAATCCCACATTAATCGAATCAACTTAGGAAACGATGTCGGTACAACTATATGCCAAAACCCTGATTTCCCTCCCATTCCATCCCATCCCCTATATAAATCTCATGATCAAACTCAACTTCCTCACACCCCGAATTGGCAACATCAAAACGTTACTAATTAAGATCCCTAGCCAAACCTCAAAATGATGTCCCATTCTAACAAATTGTTCATAACTCCCATTGCCCTCATGCTCCTCCTCTCCCTCTCCCTCTCCCACTACTCCTCAAACGCCGCGGATTTCTGCGTGGCTGATCTCGAAATCGGATTCCAGACCCCTTCAGGATTCCCATGCAAGAACCCGTCTTTTGTGACCGCTAGTGACTTTAAGTACTCCGGCCTCGTCACCGGCGGCAACACCACCAACATCAACAAGGTAAGCATCATTCGAGCTTTCGTCCAACAGTTTCCGGGCCTGAATGGGCTAGGCATGGGAGCGGGCCGGCTGGACATCGAGCCCGGAGGTGCCATCTCGGCCCACACCCACTGGTACGCGTCGGAGATGATCTACGTGGTGGAGGGGACCGTCACCGCAGGGTTTGTCTCCGGCGTGGCCACCAATACCGTGTACCTTAACAAGTTGAGTAAAGGAGAGATTATGATCTTCCCACAAGGGTTGGTTCACTTCCAGGTCAACACCGGGACGGAAACCGCCGTCGTTTTGGCTACGTATGGGAGTGAGGATCCGGGCACTCAGATCATTAGCCCGGCCTTGTTTGGTAACAATCTGCCGTCTTTGCTTGTTGAGAAAGCGACCAATATTGACGAGGCTGAAGTGAAGAAGCTCAAGGTCCTTCTTGGTGGCTCTGGCTAGCTACAAACTTAAGTGGCGTACGTGACGTGACGTGATCATCATCGTATAATCAAGAGAAATAAATTAATAAGCGGATGAAATATGTATAACTCATCCTTGCACACACTTGAATCATGAATAAATTATGTTGATGATCCTATGTTCTATGTTTATTTCGTAGTCATGGGTGTCATCACATTCACACTGATATTATGAAATAAAGGCACTCATATTATTATTAAGGGTGTGGTAATAAATAAATAAATATATGTAAATAAATTATTATTAAATAATAATAATAATAATAATTTATTAATGGCGCAAGTATAAGACACTGTTGCTTACGAATTAATCGGCTTAACAATAATTGGGTTTTACTGTTCATTAGTGAATGGATTTCCTGCGGGCAGGTTATTTCCCCATTCCTTAATGTCATTTTTTGTTGGGTTGGCAATGATGGTTTCAACCCCTTTGTTTCTGGCCACCGATTAATTGCACCCACGAAAGCCCACTGTCTCCTAGAGCTGTCAATTTGGTTTGGTTTGGTTAACCAAACCATTAAGTATGAAAAACCAAATCCCAAAAATCAAAACCAAAACCATTAAGACCCTTATTGATTTTTGGTTGCCAAAAACCAATAAGGGCCTTAATGGTTTTGGTTTTGGTTTGGATAACCAAAAAACCAACATGTACTCATACACTCATATTTATTCCTATTTCCCTCCTTTATTGAATAAACGTCATAATAATGGTAAATGGCCATAACAAATTATTGGTTGGCATGCATGTCAAAAGAAACAAAAGAAAATATATTTGTTGATAAATAATTTTATTCTTATTGGTTTCTTAATGGTTTCTATTGGTTTTTCGGTTTTAACCAAACCAAAACCATTAAGTTGCTTATTGGTTTAAAACCAAAAAACTGAAACCATTAGCTTTCCAATTGGTTTGGTTTCGGTTAAAACCAAAAAACCAAAACCAAATGGACAGCCCTACTGTCTCCCCATTTGTATTCATGATAATAATTGTGATTCAAACTTTTTATAGGTAACCATAACGTAAAAACAAGGATTAAAATGCCATATCCCTATCGACGGTCTTATTTGATTCTAATCCGATAGAAGATTTTTAGCGGTATAAAATGGTTGAATCACAGTTAAATCACATTTTAGTGTAAAATATTATATCATTGATTTTCTCCGGTACAACTTCTGGTACAGTTTTACAATCCTTACACAAAAGCATTGCATAAAAATTCTTTAAATGATTACAAATAACTTTCGTTCCGTAAACTTTATATAATGAATTTGTAGTTTAAGTAATAATTTTAATGATACTTTCTACAACCTGATTTAATTATAAGACCACACAATACGAAAGATTTGTGCAACACTATTCTACAATAATTACATGATTATAAACATAAACCTTATGAAGAGGTAGTTATTTCATATCTGTCAATTAAACAAACTTATTATGTAAGCCTTTCGTAATATATATTTGAAATTATTTATTATTATTAACTGATCTATTGATCATCTTATCATTTTGTATTATACAAAGTTTTTGTAAAGTAATTTAGCTCTTATATAACACTTCAATAAAATGTGATACTTTATGTAACTTGATTTTATTATTAGACCACGTATTACAATGGATTTATGTAATAATGTTTTATAACATTTATGTAAATTATATTTATATTAAATAAAATTTATGGAGGCATAGTTATTTTTATATAAAATTAAAAGGGTGTTACATGAGTTTTACCTAATGATTAAAACACTACGTAAAACCTACTATTGAAGGATAATGATTTTCTATGTATAAACTAAATTGATGTTTCGAAATGATTAAAATACTATGCAAAGTTTATGAAAAAATTGTTATTTCTTATGTATCACTTAAACAAATATATGTCGTATGTATTTTCTAATGATTAAGACATTACGTAAAATTTATGGAGGTATCGCACCCTTACTATTTTATAAATTATCTGAAGTTCAAATATAATGAGTTTATTACCGCTGCGAAGCGCGGGTACAAAAACTAGTTATGTTTACTTTTGTAGTTAGGTACTTCTAAAGAGATTCAGAACTGAAACCTACAGATTCAAAACTAGTGATATTACAACTTACCAAGTCATTATTCGTCTTAACGCTAATATTAACAATGCATGGTAACTAGGGAACAAAGTTGTTTGATATAAATTTTTTGTGTGAAAAGAAGAGCGTTATGGGGCGCTCTACCCCCTTGCATTAATCATACGAGGCTCAGCAACCCCAATTACATCATGATTCAACTAGTACTCTAAAAACGGCTCCGACACATTCCCTGTACACATGAGTCACCCGAACCTCATTAAAACTTTCGGATGGGATAGCGTCACTTCCCTATGAGGGTTGTGATTTTCGCTTCCCCCTTCTAAGCCGTAGATTCTCCTTCCGCATCCGATGGTTTAGAAAACAACAAGGGCTTTGATGTAATTAGGTTATTGGAGTGAATTTGAAAATAAAAAATAGATGGAAGGGGCAAATATCATGCAACGTGATTTGTGGGATAGATTGCCACTAACCATAACTGCCGCATCTTTTCCCTTTCCATTCTCGGATTCTTTCCCTTCCATAACCGCCTGCGTCACTTCGCCGGAAATATCTAGACGCTGCCACCGGTGTACAATGGACGAATACATGAGCCACGACGATGGCATAGATGGGGTGGGAGCTGAACAACCTTGTTTCTTTGGGTTCGAACCGAACTTCCCATACACAAGCAACGATGATGCGGTAGTTGAAGTGGCGGAGAATGGTGGTGATGTTTTCATGCTTGATGATGCCGGCGATTTGGACGTCGAGGACCTGCTCAACGAAGAATGGCCGGAGAACTACGAAACGACGGACAACGTCAACCTGAAGAAAAAAAAACAATTTCAAGCCTCGAGTAGTCGAGCACGTTGAAGAGAATGATGACGACACGAAGAATATCACTGGAGGCAACATTCCCAATAGGGTTTACTAGTGCAGTTATGACTTCTGTTGTACTAGTATTTTTATTTTAATGGTACAACTAATGCCAAGACAGAATGGTACCACAAGTTAGCTAATGGTAGTTCGTTAGTAGTGGTACTGGTACCACAACTTAGCTAGTGGTAGTCGTTAGTAGTGGTACTATAATAGTGGTATTTATGTAGTCGCAGTTTTCTAGTGGTAGTAATCCAGTGGTAGTAACCTAATGGTAGTAACCTAGTGGTAGTATATTTCCACTGGTACATGCACATTTATATTGTGACCGCTGATGTTTTTTTAAATTACAGTTGCTGTATCAACTGTCGTTACAATAGATAAGTGGGTTGAAAACATAGAAGAAGACCCTTTGACAATTTCGGAACCCATTGCCGATCAAGTTTCTTTAGGTACAAAAATTAAGCAGCGGCAGGACAAGAAAAGATAGAAGAAGAGGCTGATGCCGGCTCTGGAGATAGCAAGTTAGTTGGCAAGAAAACAACTCAACAAGGAGCTGAATAAAAAGAGGAAAAAAAGAAAAAATTAAATATTGTTGGTCGTTTCTCTAGTTAGATGTTTCATTTCATATTTGGAACATGATACAGTTAAACTTGTTCCTTGTGGACGATATTACTTTATACGAATGTGGTTTTGTTATTTGTATACTTTTGTTGTCTAACACTACTAGTAATGATGTACGCACCACTACTAGTTACTGGTACATGTACCAAAACTATTTCTTGGTACGTGTACAACTACTAGTTTCTGGTACTAGTACACCTAGTTATTGCTTGTAACGGAAATATTAATGTTGGTACTGGTACAACTAGTTTCTGGTACTGGTACCACTGGTAATTACTTGTAACGGAAATATTAAGTCAGGTACCGGTAGTACCACTAGTGGTTTCTGGTTCTTACCAGTACTAGTTAATGGTACATGTACCACTGGTAGTTACCAATACTAGCTACGTGTACATGAACCACTACTGATCCATGTGTAATTAGAAAAAGCATGAGAACTACTACTGTAATACAAACCATATTAAGTGCTACATTAACACTAGGGGTTTTCTCCAATACAAATGGTTTGCATTAAAAAAGCAAGTAAACTGTTCAAACTTTGTTAATACTCCATAACGTATATAAACCAATAGCATGGACATTGAATTCACATAAAAAAACTTAGCAATCCAACCCAGCAATGTGATGGCAAACCGCTTCATCTTCAAATTCAGCAAACGTCCAAGACCAAGCTTCTTAAGTATGGCCTTCCTTTCCTTCGTAATACTATCGTCCACCATTTCAATGACTGAATTCGGGCTGCACTTCTTCCCGAATTGCCTTGCACTTGTTCCAACATTCTGCTTCTTCTTCTCGGAGTGACTCTTCATTAACCCATCCCGTTGCCGTTTCTTTCTAGGGGCCAAACCATAATAGGATGACTCTCCTTCACGGATGACAACCTGTCGAGATGCATAGGTAGCATGCAGTTTTCCAACAGGTTCTTTTTCTACCGTTTGTTTATCTATCGTCGACCTGTACCATGGAGTCTTTGTTCTCGCCATTCATGGTACCATAATAACAAAACTGCATTGTTAAACATTTGTAATTAAAACTTACAATACCAACACTATGAAACATTCGAAAGAGATAGAATCAGGAATGCTTGTGATACATGTACAACTAGTGTTAGTGGTACATGTATCACTAGTGGTACTTCTACTTGTACCAATAGTGTTAGTGGTACAAGGAACGCTAGTGGTACTTGTACATGTACTACTAGCGTTACTGGTACACGAACAACTAATGGTACGTGTCTATATACAACTACAAAACAATCTATCACTACCACTAGAACTGGTACCAATACCACAACCACAACGGTACCAATTCAAAGTACCACTAGATTATACGAACAACAAACAAGCTACACAAAAAAGAAAGGGCTGCATGTTTCGTTCCTACGTTGCAATCAGAAATAAAAAACTTCAGGGATAAAGAAAAATGACCTTGTATGTTTTCAACTGCATTAGGAAGGATCGACGGCGGAAGGATGACTGAAAGAAAAAGAAAAGTGAAATGTTAGGGAAGGCAGCTGAAAATCGACAAACGAAGAGGGAAGGCAGCTGGGAAACAACCATTCCAACCCAGTCAACGGAAATTCAATCGAGTGGACCTTCAATCGACCGGAATCAAGAAAAAAGGAGTGGAGGAAGTAGAGTAGACTTACCTTTACTCTCAACGACCAAGTCTTCGAACCCAGCAGAGAAACGGCCGAGCTGATGCCGGGGAAAGGAGAACGGCGACAATATTTATCGGCGACTTTGCAAGGTTTTCTTTTTAGGGTTTTCGGAGCAGATGGAGGGGAGAGTGAGGCTGGCCAGACGAACGGTTTTTTTTTTACTGGGAAGGTGGTTGATTAGCCTCCGCAAATATTTCCTCTTTCAAAACGGCAAATCGAGTGACACCATACATGGAGTGGACGAGCAGATCCAGTGCGGCACCTCTCCTTTTTGCCCTTGATGATTATCGGCCGCCCGATCATTAGGAATGAGGATCCACGACTGGGAATAGGGAAGCGAAATTCACAACCCCTAAAGGGGCTGTGACGCTATCTAATTCTGGATGGGATACAGTCACTTCCCATAGAGGGGATGTAATTTTCGCTTCCCACTTCTCGACCGTAGATCCCCTTCCTCATTCGACGGTTCATAACACACCAAGGGCTTTTGTGTAAGTTGCTTAATTGACAAAAAAATTTTTTAAAAAAATAATGCATGGAGAATATTTTTATGCGTAATTTGTAGGATTGGATTACCACTAACCATAACCAACAACGACGGTTCCCTACCATTTCAGGATTCTTCATCATCAAAAGCAACGTCCGGAGCTTAACGGACTGGTAGCGTCAGATTGCCGGGAAGAACTTCTCGCTGCCACCGGCATAATGAACGGTGACATTGGCTTCGACCTCAATGTCCCATACACAAGGAACAACGATGTCGGCGTTGAAGAGGCGGAGAATGATGATGATGTTTTCATGGTGGATGAAAACCTCAGTTTTGACGTGGATGAGCTGTTCCACGATGAGTTACTGGACAATGTCAACATGGCGAACGACGAGGATTGCGAGCCGCACCTAGTCTTGGATGACGTCAACGTGGCCAACGTTTTATAGATAGCTTGTCTATCCTTGTTTCACCATATGAAGAAGCCAAGTCAGGTCTAATCAGGAGTAAAGGCCTTCAATGCAAAGAACAGGAAGCTACTTCGCTGGATTTTTCTTCCATCAATAATAGCAATCCTTTCGGCAATTCAAGACCCCAAATGGTCTTCTCTTCCATACTAAAAATAGGAAAAAATTCCAAAATACATATGTTTTAAAAAAAAAATTCAAAATACACACGTTATGAAAAAAAATCCCAATTTACGCATGTTTGGGCATTCACCGCGGCAAAGAAAGGCGGTGATTGCATCACCACATGAGAGAAAAGCGGTGATTGCATCACCGTTGTAGAGGAAGGCCCTCGTATATCCAAAAATAATTTCGGAATGTACTTGGATTCCTGAAAAGGGAAGGTAAAGTTATTACCAAAATCCTGTATATCCAAAATAATTCATTTTTTGAAAATTATATCCTACTAAAAATTGTAGTCCTTAAATAGTTATGTGAAATAAAAAAAATTCATGAATTTCGGATTGCGGATCACAAAGTTATGATCGTTCAAAGTTTGACGAAATTGGAAAAAGGCTCGTTTGGGAACGACATTTTTTCGGGACGAAGGCGGGACCTAACCGCCTACGGCAGTTTGCGACTTGCATGATCTAGAAAAGTTATGCGGAATCAAAAAAAATATCGCTACGGTCGGATAACCGAGCACAAAGTTATGTTCGTTTAAAGTTTCGACGATGGTCAGGCCTTCACCGCGGCTATGTAACGCAGTGAAGCATTCACAATCTTTCTCTACAGCGGTGATGCAATCACCGCCCTTCTCTCCTGCAGTGATGCAATCACCGCCTTTCTCTGCCGCGATGAAAGCCCAAACATACGTAGATTGAGAATTTTTTTCATAACGTGTGTATTTTGCGATTTTTTTTAAAACATGTGTATTTTGGGATTTTTCCCTAAAAATCCCCTACTACTCACTTTCACCAAACATCCACTACCCTTTATTGCTATATACCTCGGCCTACTTCACTAGTTTCCCTCTCTCAACAGCAGAGACAGATAACATTAATCCCAGCCTGTTTAAACCTCCAATCCTTCAAAGAAAAATATACCTTCTCAGTGTAAACATCGAGCCACTCAAAACCCTCAAATCAGAAGGCGATGCATTTCAGTTTTCATTTACAATAAGATAAGGCTCATAAAGTTATGGGTTAATACTTTAATTTGGTACGAACTATAGACAAATTTTCTACATTGGCCCGTGGTATCGGAAATTGCTATCCTGGCCTAAACTATGTAACATACTTTCTTATTTTTCCAGGAGGCGGGTTTGACCGTTAAATTAGACGGTCAACCGAGTTGACCGTTAGTCAAGGTCCACCTCACTTGCCACGTCAGCTATCAGGGAATAAAAAGTTAATTTTTTACTTTTTAATTTATTTATTTTCTAACAATAAAAATAATAAACGGAAAAAATTAATTAAAAGAGCTCTCCAAATTATTTTTAATTAATTTTAGAAATTAAACAAAATTCAAAAATTCAAAAAAAATATAATTTTATTTCCTGATAGCTGACGTGGCAAGTGAGGTGAACTTTCACTAACGGTAAACTCGGTTGACCGTCTAATTTGACAGTCAAACCCACCTCCGGGCCAAATAAGAAAGTATGCTACATAGTTTAGGCCAGAATAGCAATTTCCTATAACACGGGCCAAAGTAGAAAGTTTGTCTATAATTCGGGCCAAACTAAGGTATTAACCCTAAAGTTATTGATAGTCATACACGATAAGATAGTTCAAAACAGGATTCTATATCGGAACAAGGCGAAAATCTAAGGGAAGGAAGTGACCCCGACTAGCTAAGAAATCAACACACATGTTGCTATCTCTGTAAATGTGATAACATAACACGAAACTTCCCAGTCTTGGCCAAGTAAATCCTGGAAAAGGATATCGTGTGCTACTACACTGGAATCATGATTTATGGATTGAAAATCTAACGTTATAACCACTTAGTCAAATTTACCTTAATAATATCTCACCACAAGAGTTTAATCTAGTAATATTATTATGGGTTAATACCTTATTTTGGCCTGAATTATGACCATATAATCAATTTTGACCCGTGGTTTCAGAAATTAACATCCTGGCCTCAACTATGCAGCATATAGACTCAATTGGCCCGACACATAGTTTGACCGTCAATTTGGACGGTCAACTCCATTGAGCGTTAGTCAACACGCCATGTCATTGCCTAGTCAGCATAAATATCATTAAAAAACTTCAAATTCAAATTATTTTCCTAATTTCTATTATTTATCATTTTCCAATTAACCAAAAAATAAAATTCTAAAAATATAAAATAATTTTTTTGGGATATTTGAAAATGATAAATTTTATAAATTAACCAAAATTATCAAATTAAATTTTATAAATTTAAAAATTATGATATAAATTATATTTTTTTGGGATGTTTTAAAAATATAAAATAATTTGATAATTTTTGTTTAATTTATAAAATTTGTCATTTTCGAGTTATCCAAAAAATAAAAAAAAATAAATTTATTTTATGTTTTTTATAATTTATTTTTGGTTAATTTGATAATAAATAATTTTTAATGATTTTTAGGCTGACTAGGCAATGACATGGCGTGTTGACTAACGCTCAATGGAGTTGACCGTCCAAATTGACGGTCAAACTATGTGTCGGGCCAATTGAGTCTATATGCTGCATAGTTGAGGCCAGGATGTTAATATCTGAAACCACGGGCCAAAATTGATTATATGGTCATAATTCGGGCCAAAATAAGGTATTAACCCTATTATTATTGATTTTCAATCTATAAATTTTAAAGCTGAATATCTTAAATAGCGCCTAACGATAAAAATAAAAATAAATGATCATCACTATTAGTGGCGCACGGAGCTACATTAATGACAAGGGAGATTATAGCTCTCTCAACTCCCAAAATCATATAAAATTCCATGTAAATATATTCTAATAAATTGATAAAATATAGCAATTGATAAGGCGTTAGCTCCCTCGTCATTTTAAATTCTCTGTGCGCTAAATTTTTAACTACTCGTCTGAATTTAATTCATAATCTATATCATCCAGTGCCACCAAGACGAGCTTTGAGCTGCCGCACTTCCGCCTGACTAATCCCAGTAGTCTTCTCCACGAGGAAAGACGGGAAACGGTTCCTAAACAACGCACTTGTAACAAACTGCACACCAGGATCCGAGCTCGCAAAAGAGACGAAGAGAACGGCGTTCGAACTCCCGCTGTTGTGCTGGAAATGAAGAAACCCTTGTGGAATAACCATCACCTGCCCTTTGCTCAGCTTGTTGGCGTACATGATGTTGGAGTCCAGGCCGGAGATGAACCCCACGGTGACGCTCCCTTCCACGACGAACACCATCTCCGACGAGGACGGGTGGCTGTGGAGAGGGACGACGCCGTCCGGCTCCATGTCCACCCGCACCGCGGCCAGGTTCAGCCCGTTGAGGGCCGGGAAGTCGTCGACGAAGGCTCGGACCAAGGACAGCTTGTTGGGGTTGGTGGTGTTTCCCTGGGTGACAAAACGGGAGAAAACGAAGTCGGTTGAGGTGACACTGGACGAGTTTTTGCATGGGTAACCGTAAGGCGTTCGTTGAGCGGTTAGATCTGCCACGCAGAAATCCGCGGCGTACGAGGAGTAAGAGAAGGTGGTAAAGATAACGAGGATGATGAGAAGGAGGAATGGAGTATACATTTTTTTTTTTTATAGGTAATATAGGGAATGTGAGTATCTAGATGATTGATCTTGGGATGTGTTGATTTTGGTTATGATGTTGAAGAGGTTTATATATATAGGGAAAGGATTGAGTGGGTTTTGTACACAAAGTCGACCGATGAATATGTGCTGTGTCACTCAGCTCCAAACGTGTAGAATCAAAACGTTAATCTCAAAAATTTTTTTTTTTTTTTGTGACCGATTCTTTGCCGACGAAGTGGCGTATAGGGACAGTGCTTAATTGTCTTTATTGACGGAGGTATGGATTATTTGCATGTATATAATACAACGAATTCCTCCCATTGAACATTTGAACTAGTGGACTCTTGACATACATACGTCTGATCCTTTCCCTTTAATATGGGATTTGGATTGCCGATTAAAGAGAAGAAAAGGATGAAGCTGCTGTCTATTATTGGTTGGGAATTAATGATGACTTGTCCGACGACAATTGGATGACAATGGATATTCCATTTTGTCATAATATGACAATAGATATATTTTTTTATATATAATATGACAATGAATATTGGTAACTAGACATTTGGTTATTTTACATTTGTTGTTGTTTTAGGTCCGGAACAGGTTAGTAATTTTATTCTCAATAATCGTGCATATTTTCATATTTCATCATCCACGTGGACTGCATTTAGGTCAGTACTTTTTTTTAAAAAGTAAACATGAAAGAGCAGAATCGTATGGTATGTGGTACTGGTACAATATGGTATGTGTTGGTATCATACTATACAATGTATTGAAATTAATCTACCCATAAATTATTGTTTATTGTATGCTGCTACCATATAGTATGCTATATTTTCAATTTATAATTTTGTCTAACAAGGCACAAATCTATAAAATAAAATTACAATGCTAATACCATATGGTATGATGAGGTATAATGGGGGAAAACTAAAATTGTGGTGTGATATGATATGATATATTGTATGCTGCTACCATATGATATGATATAGTATAATGATATTTTAATAGGAAACAAACCTATAAACTTGAATTACAATATTGGTACCATATATATGGTATGATGTGGTATTATGCTAATAACTTCAACTCAAACTGAATGATGATATTTTCATTAAACTTGAATTAAAATACTGGTACCACCATGGTGACACGTGGTAAACATAAAAATACATATAGTTACCACATGCTACCACCAATAGTGGGTTTTTTTTAACGTGAGATAAGTAAATAGAATTCGGATGATGATTAAAAAACTGTACCAATAGCTTATTAGCGGTTCAATCAAAAACATCTTCTATCAAAGCCTAAATTGGTCGTCGATATTCAACAATATAAACGATTGTACCACACGGTTAAATCATGATTTCAGCATAAATTCATACGGCTGACTTTCTTGATACAATCTCCTCCCATAGGATTTTACAATTCTCGGTAACAACTAACAAGAAATAATTAGGGCCATTATTAGTCATCGAAGCAGGCCAATCCATCCTGCATCTAACCATCTGTTAAGGGCTAGCAAAGAGCTCAAGCTCATATATGAATTCATTACAAAGCCCAGCTCTCAGTGGCGAGAGAAGGCACATTATTTATAGTTGGCTAGCTAATTGCTATTTGCCAATTAAGTTGACTTCCACACTATCCATGCCCATGCTCATTTATGAATCATTATCATTGAATATATTTGTTTTCATAAACAATGAAAACAAAATCATTTCCGATTACCAATTATTGTGAAGAAGTTCGCCCACTTATTCATCAATTAGGTTGACTTTACATGTATGTTAACTTTAATGAAACTGAGACACCAACAATGCTGAAAACAATATCAAATGGCAACATACCTTGAAAATTAAATAAAAAAAAACAGCATGAACACCTACATATGACATAATCATGACACTCGTACGAGAATTGAGTATTCTTTAAAAGGATAAATTATGGTTGCCTGTTCGGTTTCGGTGGCATCGGTTTAAACCGGAGTTGAATCAATGAGAAGTTTAAAGGATTCATCTTTTCAGTACGAAATCATATTGTAAATTAAAGGGTTTGGTTTAAATCGTAAAACCAATAAGAAAACGATAAACCAAAATCATCAAATCGTAATCATTGTAAGTGGATGACTATTCAATTTCCACTTTATTGAGACTGAACCAAAATCGATGAGGAATTTACCGATATTAGTAAATAGGGAACTTAACACTTTCGGCTTTGAGTTTTTGAGAAAGTTTTTTTTCCAACCAAATAATTAGTCGGTAAAAGATATTTTCCGCTTAGCATTTCACAAATAATTCTGCTCCAGCAATAAGCATATAGTTATTATTACAAATCCGATAAAAGCAACAGCACTAACACAAAAAAAAAAAAAAAAACATGCACATGCAAGCGATCGACGAACAAAATCCCTTAGCCAGAGCCACCAAGAAGTTTTTTCAACTTCCTCACTTCAGCCTGATCAATATTAGTAGTCTTCTCCACAAGAAACGACGAGAAGTCGTTCCCAAACAACGCAGCGTTGATCATTTGAACCCCCGGGTCAGCATTCCCAAACGTGGCGAAAACGACGGCGTTTTCACTCCCCGTGTTGGCCTGAAAATGCACCAGCCCTTGCGGGAAAACCATGATCTCTCCCTTCTTCAGTTTCTTGACGTACACCTTGTTCGACGTTATGCCGGAGACGAACCCGGCGGTGACGGAGCCCTCCACCACGTAGATCATCTCCGACGAGTACGGGTGCGTGTGGAGCGGGATGGCGCCGCCGGGAGCGAAGTCGGCACGTGCGGCGGCCAGGTTCAGCCCGTTCAGGCCGGGGAACTGCTGGACGGTGGCCGGGGTGGCGGCGGCCTTGTTGATGTTGGAGGTGTTTGCTCCGGTGATAAGGCCGGAGAAAACGAAGTCGTCGGCTGTGACGTTGGCCGGGTTCTTGCAGACGTAGCCGGAAGGGGTCTGGTAGCCGTTGAGATCGGCGACGCAGAAGTCAACGGCGAGAGAGGTGGAGGAGAAGAAGGAGAGGATGGTGAACGGGAGGAGAGTAATGAGGAGGAAGAATCGTTGATTGGACGACATCGTTTTGTTGTTGTGGTAACGTTTTCGGCCTAAGGTGTAGTTGATTATTGGGATGTGTCGAGTTTAGGTTTTGGTTGATTTGATGTGAGTTTATATAGATAATAAAGAAGTGGTGGTTTGGATGGTGTCTAGTAAACGTGTGTTGGTTGTGGCCGGCATTAATTTTTTGGTAACACTTTGGAATAAGTTTCAAAAAATATTGTTCGATTTAGTTTGACCAAATCTGTTTGAAATTTGGGTCGTATATTGAATATAGGTAGGTTATTGGTGACTGGATAGAATAGAATATTAAAATTTGGTATTCGAAGTCACCAAAGCAAAGAAAAGTTTTGAGTCGTAGAGAACTGGTCCATAATTCTACTCTCTAAAAGTAAGTATACCTAGTCGGTTGACAATATCAAATCAATTGATCAGTCTAGATATCTCAAAATAACTTGGGTTATATATGAAAAATGAATTGATTCATATCATAATATTATACTACAGTTTTTGATCGAAATGTCTCATGTTCCAATCTTTGATTCTTAATAAGTGTAAAATATATTTGATTATGAAAATTTTCAAATTTTGGAGTAATTTGCTTTCATTTGAGAGGAAGGGTGATATTAGATCATGTTTGGCTCTTTTTTTCTTCAATAACTCACTTGTATTGTCAAGAAAAACATACAAACGTTCACATCTCAACTATCACCCTTATGCAAAAAAGCCGAAAACCAAACCCCAACAAGTTAGCGGGAAACGATGAAATGGTCTTCCTTACTATCAAATGGATCATCCGATTGTTTTTTCTACCAATTGCTTTTATTATTTGAATGAACTGATTGAGCATAATTATTATAAGATAAAATGATACAAATAAAAGTAAAATGAGTATATATACTACAGAAAAGGTTTATCAAAGAGATATGAATAACTTGTTATATAAATAGCATAACCTTTGAATATTGCAGAAGTGTAGCTAGTTGACTTAATTACAGAGACAGAACATAATAGGGAATAGAAAGAAAATTGGGGATTGAGTTGCTTAATTGAATAAATTAAATTTGAAAGGAACTCAGCAACCATATGTCATATAATCGGGTTATGTGGCATGGATTTCTGGTAGCAGGGCAGGTAATTAATTGGCCGGTAATCGGTTAACAATTAATCGAGACACATAAAGGAACTTCCAAATATTGTTATCAAGTGATATTCGGTTAATCGGGTTATCAACTAATCGATTAACGGTTACTAGCTGGTTATGCGACCAATCGCCAAGGAAGAGTGTTGTCATGTTTTTAAACCTATTAATCGATTGATAAATCATTGTTAAAACATTAATAAACAATTGCAAGATGAGCAACTAGGTTCACATCAAAGACTTTCCAACAATTGCAGTGTAGTGTTATGGCTCTTGGTCTTCGACCTAGCTGCACTGTCATTCACGACAACATTGAAAATAGGGATGACAATAAAACCCGAATCTAAGGGTATCCTACCCAACTCAACTTGATCAACGCGGGTAAAATATTCGTGTTGAAGGGTTTCGAGCTGGGTTCGGGTTTAAACCAGTTACACAGTTCACCGGGTTGATTGAGTTTGGGTTTAGAGATAACCGACCCATGGATACCCGTCCAGGTGCCCACGCTTATTCAGTCGCCTTACTCTACCAAACCTTACCATAATTCTAATTTCACAAAAGAAGTGAGAGGGATAAATTAATAATTGAAGTTGAACACACAATCTTTGTTGGTTTGCTGCTTTCTCACAAACAAATAGGGAATGAACGAAAAAACAAAGAATTGTATGTAGAATTTTCTAGAAGTTGAACACACATGCTTGAATTTTTAGATTGTTGTTGAACAATTTGTATGGATAACTTGTAATCTGTTTGAATTTTATAAACTGGTGTTTTATGTATGAATTATTTGTATGAGGAAATTGATGTTTGACTTTTATTTTGATAGGAACTTGTTATTGTAAATTTTTACCAAGAAACCCATGAGTACCCATGAACCTGTGGGTACCTAGCGCATTGGGTTTGAGTTTTCCAAATCTAATGGGTTTTACCCCGATTTTTTTATTGAATAAATCCATTAATTTTGGTTTGGCAAAACCCGACCCAACCTGACTCATTGCCATTCTAATTGAAAGGCACAAGGAGAATACTTACATGCATATTGCACCAGTCATCCCTTGACCAATTATTGTTGAATTTTGGGTCGTACACTGAATAGAGGTATACATGGTAGAATATTAAAAATTTGGTATTCGAATTCACCAAAACAAAGAAAACTTTTGAGTTATAGAGAAACGTCCTTAATTCTACTCTCTAAAAGTAAGTACACCTAGCTAGTTGAGAATATGAAATGGTATGAATATCTCAAAATAATTTGACAAATATATGAAAGATGAATTGATTCGTGTCATAATACTATATTATAACTTTTATCGAAATATCTTATGTTCAATCCACCTCTAATTCGGTACACGATGAACTAAGGAAAAACCTCCAACGCAGGCGGGAAATGAAAAGATATCTAAAATCATAGGCAGAGGGAGGCCAATTGGGTCTTGTTCCGGGATAGGGGTAAATTTCGAAGGAACAAAAATATGTCATATATATGTATATTGGTGATGCAAAACAACGCTTATAGGGAGTATTAGAATATTTTTGTCACTACAGCACAACTTATTACTTATTTATAAATTGACATAAAATTAATTTATTATATTATAAACGAATTCTAATTGCAATAAAGACCTAATTGGATCTCTTTTCTCCTTATGCCTATTCGATTTTTTCCCAACAACTCTGAAATTGTCTAGCGACAACGACAATTCCACTAGTTTTGATTCAACGAATTACAACTGCAAATGTAAAAAGAGCATTTTCAGCTTTGAGTTATATTAAGAACAAGTTTCCAAGTCGATTTGGAGACCAATTTGCTAATGCTAATTTAAGGGGTCGTTTGGAAGTTGCGAATATTAAATCGTTGCATTGTAATAAATTACCATAATATAAATGCATGTATTGATACAACAGATGCATTTTAACAATACAATGTGGTTGTTGAGATTCTACTTTATACATTGATTTACATAAAGTTACTTTTATGGAGAAATGTCATATTTACCCTCAACTTTTAATATAAGACAAACTATTAGGGATATAAATGGAAAGAAAAAGTTGACACAAATCTAAAAGCAACAATCTCAATTTTTAGTTGAGATTGTATAATGCATCATTTTTGTGTGATTGTTGGTGTGACCTACATTTTGGCGCTTCCAACATTGTATGGTGCACAATACATATATTCAACAAACACAACTCTAACAATCACAACTTCCAAACGACCTCTAAATTGAATTTGAGTACCATGCATTTTCAAGAATAATTTTTGTTGGAGTATAAAAATCTACACGAATTTACTTTTTAGATATCCTTCTCAAAAGGTTTCGTACAAAAGAATTTGATGGACACTAATATACAAATTTCCCCACACTTATATATTTTCGTTGTAGTACTCCCCATATTAAACAAATTTCCCCACACTTATATTTTCGTTGTAGTACTCCCCATATTAAACCGGACACTAACACAAATAACTATCAATCACAGACATGCATGTATCCAGTTGAAATTCGAGAGAGATCCCAAAGTAACACATAAAAAAGCCATGGGAGAAAGCAGCCCGTTGCCATATATATCCCCACGGTCTCTTATTCAACCCCCTTGAAACCAACTGAGGATTAAGTTGATCATCATCTAGGGTTACGTACGTACGTACGTACTATAACATAACATATATATATATAAGTATAACACTTGAACAGCACTAATTAATTGTCGGAGGCTTTGCAGAGCTGGGTGTAGATCAGTTCAGCATATTGGCGAGGAGGAGGAACGTTTGGGTTTGCCTTCTCGTACTCAATCAGCCACCCAACCTGTCCAGCATCGCGGTCGATTTCGACTCTGACGCAGTAGCTCTTGTACATCTCCAGCATCTCGCCTTCTATCACCCTCAACGTCAGCCACTTCCCTTCTGCTTCGTCCACCGCTTCCCACTTGATCTTCACACTCATCAACGGACTCCCAGCTGATCACCAAGAGATTCGATTATAGATCATATATCATTTACGTACTAACGCGTAGTCGTCAGCAAATAAATACTCTTACGTACGGAAGGAATATTGGGAGATGAAGACGGATCCTGGAGCCATTTGGCGGCCGCCTCCAATGATCTCGGCGGTCTTGATGATCCCGGGAACCAACTGAGGCAGGGAGTGGACGTTGTCCCTGAACACAGCTGCTAGCTTCTCGGGGGATTTCATCGGGACCTTGGTTTCAAGAGAGTGAAGCTGAGCCATGATCGCTTGTTCAGTTATTAGCTGGGTGTATTGATTGGTTTGTAGCTAGCTAGCTATATAGGCAAGGCTGTTGTTATGACATATATTCGGTTAGGGCCCAGCGCTAAACTTTTGGAGCACCGAATCTTGTAAAGTATGCGATTGGGTTGAATGATACCTATACGAGAATATATTTTGAGCCACACAATTCATCAAATCTAGAATCTAATGAGGGGAAATAAGTAAACAAGAATCTTCAACAGATGCATCTATAGGTGTATTTAAACATAGCTAAACTTTCATTTTGTGAAATCAACATCTTCTCCAAACTAAATCTTTTACCTAAATCATAGGGTTGAGAAACGGTCCGATCCGATTAAAGTGGACTGAATTAACTCGGTTTCTTAAAATTGTTTTGGACAAACCCACAACCGAAGACATAACTGGATGACATCCTGTAAGGAAGTGGTTAAGCACCATACACGGGCCTGTATAAGATCCAGCATAACCTTCTTCCAACAACTCGAGTTATTGGGACCAACTGTGTCTATGACACATCCGGTTTAACTATGGAAATTAAGGTTGAAAGTTTTGCGGGGAACGGTAGTGGTCAAATTGCCAACTCCTATGCGATCAAGATTCATGAACTATGGAAAGTTCGCCTATTGCTGCTTGTGGAATTTGTTTTCGGACATAACAAAACTTTTGGGATTGCAAACGATGTGTTCTAGAAGCATATATTCCAGTGAAATTGGTTGACTGAGTATATAGGAAACGACGGGCAGCTATGCATGCTAATTGCTAAAGCAACCTCCCCCCTCCCCTCCTATATCTCATGATCAAGCTCATCATTTCTCCTGTTTTCCGGCGAGGAAAAACTGGTGTTTGAACACAATGGATGCACCTTTGACTTCTTGAACAACGATAATTACACGGTTCACTCCTCTCCGAACAATGTTCGAACGAGGGTGTTTGATGTTTTTGATGGTTTTTTGGGAACAAATCTAAGTTACGTTACTCTACTCCTATGGAGGTTCAGTGAGAGCTCCAGAAACTAAAACTACGGCTAATTTGCAGAGAAAAGGATAAAGTTTGACATTGTGCGTCAAATGTTTGGTTGTGGACCCCTTTTCCCGTCTTTGTTTCTCCTATTTATAGCCACTGGGTGTAACTGCCTTTGTAACCGTCGTAGTAACTGCTAGCTGGCCTTTTGCTCCAACCGCCTTAGGGGCCGCTTGTCGCTGCCTTGGTGACTAGTTGGTAACCGTCGCCTTGGGGGTCTCGTCTCGTCGCCCTGTCATGACTGGATGGGGTTGAGGTTCTTTGCTTAGCCTCCATGATGAAGTCTTGATCGCACCCTCGGCTGCTTGATGACTCCCCACTCTTGTCGTCTTGAGACCGCTACCATCTCATGACACCAATCCTGGGGGCTTGGTCTCCATACTTAGTCTTTGTAGCATCATCAAGTTGATAAGTTACACCCTGCCGGCTTGGTACCCCGTTAGGGTGCTACCAAGTCGGCCTTGGGACTTTGTCTCCATATGGCCCCATAAGGACCATACATGGTTGTTTGGTACCTAGTCGGGTGGCCACCTCAGCTAGCCACCATGCCTTAGTAGAATTTCTTGTCTTGTTGGCTTGATACCCTGATGTATGGCTATCAAGTCCGTCTTGGCCCCCTGTTGCCTGGCCACCAAGTCAGTCTTACCGGCTTGATAACCCCTTGGGGTCATGGGACCCTGTCGCTTTGCTTGGCTGCCAAGCCTGTCTTGCCGAACCCGTTGGCTTCATACTTAGCCAAATTCATGCTTTTCATGTCTTGGAACCAAGCCATGCCTTGCCGGCTTGGTACCCTCTTGCTATGGCCATGTGATTCCATACTTAACCAATTTTCATGTATTTTAGTATCAAGCATGCCTTTTCGGCTTGATACCCCTTTGGCTCTATACTTAGCCAAATTCAATGTTTTGGTACCAAGCCCTCCTTGCCGGCATGGTACCCTCTTGCCCCATACTCAACCAATTTTGTCTCAGCACGGATGGTCTCCTATTTGGTACCCGGCTTGGTACCCGGTCGTTTGGCACCCATCGGACGGTGTCATGCTTGACACCCTTGTGGTTGGATCTCCATACTTAGCCAATTTTCACCTCGGCATCATGTTTGACACCCTTAGACGAGACCCCCCTTGGACGAGATCATGCATGACCCCCTTTGTGCTTGACCCCCTTGGACGGTGTCATGCATGACCCCCTTGTGCTGTGGGTCTCAACACTTAGCCAATTTTCGCCTTCCTTGCACGGTGTCATGCATGACCCCCTTTGGACGAGATCATGCATGACCCCCCTTGTGCCGTGGGTCTCAACACTTAGCCAAATTTTGGCCTTCTTTGCACCACACGGCGAAAGGGTACTCGCGATGACCCCCTTGGACGAGACCCCCTTTGTGTCTGACCCCCTTGGACGGTGTCATGCATGACCCCCCTTGTGCTGTGGGTCTCAACACTTAGCCAAATTTTGGCTCTCTTTGCCACCACAGCTAGGGGTACTAGCGATGACCTCCTTGTACGATATCATGCACGACCCCCTTGGACGAGACCCCCTTGGACGAGATCATGCATGACCCCCCTTGGACGGTGTCATGCATGACCCGCCTTGTGCTGTGGGTCTCAACACTTAGCCAAATTTTGTACCAAGGGGTGGAGGCATCGTCCGGCTATGGGGTCACGGAGACGGTCGGCCATCGTATAGAGGAGAAGGGGTTTGGCCACTTAGGCCCAAAAACCCAACCCAACAAGGCCCATCTATCTCTTTTAATCATTAATGTTGAGCTGGCCTTATAAATCACTACCACTCCTTGAAAATAATCAATGTGGTATTAAGTTATTTTTTTAGTGGTAAACAAATGCCCCCCAACTACTTAGTGCATAAGGATTATGGACTAAGTAGTTAACATCAACTAAATCACTTAGCTTCACACTTCGTACGTATCAAGCTCACCTCTCAAACACCCCTGCGGTTGAGCTTTGGCTTTATCAAAGTCGATTAAAAGATAAGAAGCCATACTTTTCTCATTAAACCATCAGTAGGACTGCGATCTACTTGCCCCCCGAGACAAGTTAACTCCTCATTGCCTTAGTAGCAAATTTTATTTTTATTATTGATGAAGTGTGATACCAATCTACTTGGCTTCATTGCCCCCATATCAACGTTATACTTTTATCTCAATATACCCTCCATGTCATGGCTAGCTATTTAAGCCATACTTCCTCATGGGGTGTCATGCCATGCCTTAGGGTGTGGGAGGCTTGGCATGTCGGCCACCAAGGTGGCCTACTAACATTGAACCCCTTGACACCCCACATCCCAAAGAGAAGGGACGTAGGGCTTGAGATACTTACCATTGATCAATCGATCATGAAACACACCATCTAAATCTTTTAACAAGTAGGCCCCATTGGGCCGGGTGGCATGGACAATGAAGGGTCCACGCCAGTTGGGAGACCACTTGCCAAACTTGGGATCCTTTTCCCCAATTGGCAAGTGTAGTTTCCATACTAACTCTCCTTCTTCAAAGGACTTGTGCTTAACCCTCTTGTTGTAAGAGCGAGCTACTTTGTCCTTTTGCACCCTGATGTTATCGAGTGCTTTGAGTTGGAGTTCATCAAGATCACACAATTCCAACATCATAGACTCATAGTACTCTGAGGGTGTCAGCTCATGTTGCCTCATGTACCTCAATGACTTGACTGTTATTTCGAGTGGCAGGAATGCCTCATGGCCATATGTCAAAGAGAAAGGGGTCACCTTTGTACTACTACGTGGTGACATCCGATAAGCCCATAAGGCTTCCGACAAGACTTCATGCCACTTTCTTGGGTTATCTTCAATCATCTTTGACAATATACCCTTCACCACCTTGTTGGATGCTTCAGCTTGACCATTGGCTTGAGCGTAGTAAGGAGTGGAGTGAATGATTTTGATGCCGTGTTCTTCGGCAAACGCCATCACTTCCCCTCCCGTGAACACAGTACCCTGGTCAGCTGTTATGGTGGCTGGCAAGCCGAACCTATGTATTATATTCTCTTTGATGAACTTGATAATTTCTCCTTGATTGACCACTGTCATTGGCTTGGCCTCCACCCACTTGGTAAAGTAATCAGTTGCCAAGATGACAAACGTATGTCTATCAGAAGATGGTGGATAAATCTTCCCAATCAAGTCCATGGCCCACCCAATGAAAGGTCGAGGCTTGATGATAGACTTCAAGTCGATGGCCGGAGCTCTTTGCACCGGGCCATGTCGTTGACAAGCCTCACACCCCTTAGCAAAAGCGGCACAATCTTCCCCGATGGATGGCCAGTAGTACCCATACCGGTGGAGTACCCATCTCATAGAAGGGCCTGCTTGATGAGCACCACATATCCCTTCATGAACCTCACCCATCGCTTGTAGGGCCTCCTTGCCCCCCAAGCACTTCAACAGCAAACCATCTGGTCTCTTTTTGAATAAGACCTCATCCATCAAGACGTAGTTCCTTGCCTTGAATTTGATGGCCCGATCCACATCCCCTGTTGGATTCTTCAAGTATGCTATCAAGGGGGTACGCCAGTCACTGGCATCCTCTTCAATCGTAAACACATCTACCCTTTGCTTAAGTCTCGCATGTAGTGGGTTGAGCGTTCGCACAAAAATTTGCTCTCCCCCTTCATGAGCAAACTCTTTGAACCCCGAAGCTAGTTGTGCTAGGTAGTTGGCCTTGCCATTGTCCTGGCGAGGAACATACTTGATAGAGACATTATCAAAGTGGGTAATTAATATTTGGACATAATCAAGATATGTCTCTAGTATGCAATTGATGCATCGAAATTCACCAAGTACTTGGTAGACTACCAGTTGGGAGTCCCCTTGGATGTTAACACTTTTGACTTTCAAGTCAACAAGCATCTCCAGCCCCACCACTAAAGCCTCATACTCGGCTTGATTGTTAGTGCATGGGAGGTCAAGTGTAAAGGCAAAGTGCATGGCATGTCCCGATGGGG